ACATGTTATGGAGATTAACACAATGTCATTGAGACTGCAGTACACATAGATAGCATCATTGTCACTAGAATGGTTTGAAGTCTTGTATGTTTGTGGAAAGTAAGAAGAGGAGCTCCCATATATTCAGTTTGAAGAAGCTGTTTTATGGTTTATAACCATATAGCTTTGCTTTCATCTATTAGTTAGTTTGGAGGTGGGTGGGGGGGAACTGTACATTATCCGAACATATCTCCTGCTATGAACCATCACCCAGCTTAAGATCGTCAGGAGAGGCCCTGCTCTTGATCCCACCATTCTCGCAAACATGATTGGGGGGGACGAGGGACAGGGCCTTTTCAACAGTGGCCCCTGTCTGTGGAACTCCCTCCCTAAAGACATCAGGCTGGCCACCTCCCTCCTGTCTTTCAAGAGACAACTGAAGACCTGGCTGTGGGACCAGGCATTTGACTAGAGGCATTGATCAGAGGACAATGGCAGCTTGGAAAGGAAACTTGAAAATTACGACATTACGACATTGGATTAGTTTGGCTGGATCTTGGTTTTAGCGGCATGTTAGTTGAATGTTAAATGAATTTTTTGATGATTTTTATAATGTTTTAATCAAGCTTTACTGTTTTAATCAAATGTATATGTTGACAGCATCACTGATGCTTATGTAAAGCCTCCCTGAGTCCCCTTGTGGGAGAAGGGTGGGGGTAGAAAATAAACCAACAAATAAATAAATAAATAATCACCTTTTGTCACAGGAACTTTTGTGTCACCAACATTGTGGAAACCACTTGACCTATCTTCAATTTGTTCTGCTGCTTGTCAGGTTAAAACCTAGGGAAGAATGTTGACAGCAACCTATGAGGCTTTCCTTCTGTTTCCTTGTATTCTTGGTGTGTAGATATGAATTTTGTTTATCATACAATTCCATGCGAAGTCCAAATCTGTTCCTAGACTTCTCATTGATATCTGAAACCACGGATAATAGCAAATTATTTTGAAATGAAGGGCCCAGAGTACCATAGAGGATCTGGAGGATCTAGAAAATGCTTAGAGAGGATGTATTTTGTTTGTGGAAAAATGAAACAATGGTTATGGGGATGTACTGTTTTGCTTGATTTATATTGATGTGTACTGCTGCTGCGTTCTTTATTTTTAATTGAAGTTTAATTATGTTGTTACTTCATTTTTATCTGTTCATCCTACAGATAATACTGAAACTACATTTTGTTATGAGGAGATCTATCAGCACCAAGATCGCTAGTGCAATTTATAATCTGAAGGTTTTGAATAAATCACTATGATGCCTCTCGAGTTGCCTTGCTTACTCCTGCAGAACGTATCGTTAACATGCTTAGCTTCTGCTTGGAGTTCTCATTTAAACCTTGGCAGTATCTAACCATATAATTGTGTCTCTCTTACTGCCGCATCTATTTTTACAATAAGTAAGATATATTGTATTACTGCAGGTCAAAGGACAGCTTTAAGTTGCTCATTTTCCTATGGATGCCATTTCTCCTGCATGGGCTAGTGAGCAGCTCCTGGCACAAGGTTTTCATAAACACATTTATGGCTGATGCATCACAATTGGGAATTTCCTAGCTTTGGCACCCGTATGAGAATAATGCCACTTCAAAGCCAATTAAGCAGAACTGTAGTTATCTGTTCCTTTCAAAATGCGATAGTAAAAAATTGAACATTTCATATAAGAGAATGAGAGGAGCATTTTAGAAGGGATTGGGGTTCCCCTCCCCTCCCCTGAATGCTTGATAATTAGTTAACTATTTGCAAGGCCTTATAGCAGTTGTCAGGAAAATGTGGGTCAGCCTGGTAAAATGTATTAGCCCAATACACTGTCTCTGTTTTATTACGATGCTGCCGAGGAAGCAGTGATATACAGCACTGTCATTACAGATCTATTGTTACAAGGGTCTCACCGTCTTCTGTGTACCGCCATTAATTTATAGCAGTAAACAATATGTAGCTTTCTGACTGCAGCAAAGCAGAATCTTTTAATGAGGTGGATGTTATTACCACAATAAATCAGAGCATTTGTGTAATGTATAATTCAATGTGTGTATTCCCTCTGTAACTTCTCTGAGTAAGCTGATAGTGTATCATTGTCAGAGCACAGTCCCATAGTTCTTTATTTCTAAGCCTTTCTCCCCCATTCAGTGACTTTAAAAAAACCTGCTTGCAAATAAACATCGCATGACTTGATAGTTGTCCTCTTGCTGGGTTTCAGAAACCAAGTGTAACGAAATAGAAGACTTAAAATCAATACTGTGCATTCTGTCTGTATGGATCGCCACATGATTCCTTTTATTTCTTTTTTTCAAAAGAGAATTAAATCAATCCTAATTGGTTTTAGCTTTATATTCAGTGAATTTAATTCTATAACTATTGATCTGTGGTGGTCTTACTTGGAAAATAATAAAAGTGGGAGCAGTTAAAAGCATGCCTTTGGAAAGCTTCAAGGCCATACGAATACTGCATTATTCGTATTGCTACTGAAATGTAACCTATTTACAAATGACTTAATGTCTCTTTTTAAAGAAAACCCTGGCTTGGTTGAATGCTACCAAACACAAAAACAGATGGTGGTTCTTTACAAATACAATATTAAAAGCAGAGTGATCTCAATTCTTCCTTGGAATAGTTTAGTTCCTTCAGATAGAACAAAGCAAACGGTTTGTAGACTTCCCTTTTTAAGAAAAGGGTTTATCGTCATTTTAGATTATTGCCAAGGTTCATGTTGGATTTTGTGCCATCTAGTCCATAGAAATATTCATGAGAAGAAATAAAAGGATCTACAACAAAGGCAAAAAGAAATACCATTCTGTTGCTGAGTAATAAAATCAATTATATTCGATCTTAAACATTTGTACTTGGCTCATTCATTTGTAGTTCATTGTTACTTAAGTTACAAAGGGGGACTAGGTTTTGTGAAATGCTTCTAATTTTCTCAAATTCAGTGATGCTAGTCCTTGATGAGTCCATCTTTCAAGAACAATTACACCGAATTTTGAATAATTGTTGAACATGTTGAATAGCTTTAGTCTCTATAGTGTTAACAGCCATTTTCTGTTTTATTTCTAAATAAAGTATTTTTGTTAAAGTGGCTTATTTTAAAACACATTTTTAATTAATTGCCTGCATTCCTTTATGTTTCTGAAGGACCTGCAACATGCCATCTAATGTTAGGGAATTTATAGTATAGTTAGATTGCTTTCATTGTGTACCTTTAAATATGACATTATACTGTTCAATTCCCATACATATAGATGTCTCCATTCTACTTAATCAAAAACCTGTAATGGCGTCTAAATCAACTTCAAGCCATCTGGCTTATTTTGCCAGTGAGTGAGCTCAGTGGATCTCCATTAAGGAGGGCATTCCACTGTTTTATTAACAAGACCCTGCCTCTTTTACCCAGCTATCCAGTAAAATATGTGTGAGGGGGGATTGCCTTGACCTTAAAATTAGGGATGGATTATAACACATTTCCAATGTAACCAAACCCATAAAGCAATAGTTCTTAACCTATGGGTCCCCAGGTGTTTTGGTCTACAACTCCCAGAAATCCCAGCCAGTTTAGCAACAGTTAGGATTTCTGGGAGTTGAAGGCCAAAACATATGGAGACCCACAGGTTCAGAACCACTGTCCTAAAGAGTAGCACCAGCATTTTCACTTAAGACAACAAATAATAAACCAAGTTTAGTTTTAGGAATGCTCATGGGGTTTTTGTATCTAGTTTATCTTTGACCAAGGACAGTGACTGGGTAAAAATGAGATCAGTGAATGAACTTGTTTTTGTGGTTAAATTCACCTATGTGATTTCAGTATTTACTCATGTCCTTATGTGACATAGGGCTGTTGTTAGGGGAAGCATTTCACTTTGTCATTATTTGTTTACATGACCTGAAAAACAACTGTGTAATATTTCCTTATGCAAAATATGTTGTAAAAATTACTTGAAAACTCTCAATGAAAAGAGAAGATGATGTTGGCATTATCCAGCAGGGACATTTCACTAGCAAAATGGTAGAACTGAACAGCCTTCAGAGGAGGCTGTTCTCAGTGCAATCCCTTATATACTCCAAATTAGCTTTGCTCAACTAAGAAACTTGCCATAGCAGGAGAGGGAAAGGAAGTAGAAGAGAGCTCCACTTTAAAGATGCTATGAGTCAATTGTAGGTTGGGGCTAAATTGTCTAACAGAATAGTTACCTTCCCTTTCCTTTCTACAATTACATAAATTGTCCAGGTCTGCCATTTAAAAGTAATAAAAATGTGTAATGCAAAGGGACATTTTTTGCACCTTGGAGACTAACTGAGAGAATGAACTTAGTAGACTACACTAACTGCTTAGGTTGCTGTGAAACCGGCAGAGAAGAAAGTAATTTAGCTGTGCGGATGATTACATATGAAGTCCTGGAACTGATTTCAGGCTTTTGTGGTGCTTATATGAACCATAGAAGCTGCCCCCAACCTGGTTTCAGGATACTTGGTATCTGCAGCTTCATGACCATGGAGGAATCGGGTGTGTGTGTGTGTAGGGGGTGGGAGGGGGTGGGGTTCACCTCCTTTGCCGCAATACACAGGTGCAGATCACCGAACTACCCATCCCTTATATAATTTTGTCATGCAATGTGGTTTACATTTAGGCATGCTGATGCGCATTACAGGCGCTATTCTGGAGTATCCTCTGCCTTTGGTTATCTCAGTTTAAATTCCTGAATACATGTTACTGTGTACATTTGTGGAATATGATATGTAAACACCACACTGTCAAGCTGCATCAAGTAGTCAGTGCAGATGTGTCCTAAGTCTACTTGCTCATCTGATGTGATATTGTGATACCATTGCATATTGGTATTTTAGACTAATTAAACAATATCTTCAAATAATATGCATTGTGTTCCTTAAATTTCCACTACTAATTTAGTGGATGAAATGTTACAATTTCAGCCAATATTGCGTATTAAGTCTGTTCTTTTTTTTGTCCCCAGCCTATTGGTGCCCTTAATCCCAAAAGAGGTGCATTCTTTGCAGAACGCCATGAAACATGGGAAGATGAGCAGGTTCCAAAGTTCCATTATGGGACACATTATTCAACAGCAAGTTTTACACTTACTTGGTTGTTAAGAATCGTAAGTAAAAGAATTGAAAGAGTTTTTGTTTTATTTTACTAGAGAAATCAACCGGTGGTTGAAGAACAGATTTAAAATTAGTGGCCATTAAAACTACTGATATTTTTAAGGTTGAGTATAATCCATAGGTCATTTTGGATGATCCAGAAATCGCTTCTAAATTCTTAACATGTTTTAATAATATAATCTAAATGGAAAAGCTCTCTCTTAGAATGTATTTTGAAAATTTGCAAAAGTTTTTCTATTATTTTTATTTCTATTTGTAATTGTGTTTTGATTTTTTATTTGTTTCATTGATGGATCCTTAAAAAAAGATGGAATCTGGCCAAATTAGAAGGATTTCAAGTGTATCTTTGACAAGTAAAACAAGGCTTTATAATGCTGCATAAAAGCAGAATGATCGTGGTCTTCTTTTGTTAATAAAGTTGTGGTATCCTTACAGATACTGATACAACAGAGGAGACTTAATATATTTATAAAACAGACCATGCTTCTGCAAAATAAACTGGAATGATGATTTATTTGATGGAAACTAATTTCTTTGAGAAAGCATTAGCAGCACATCATTAATTAAACCTTGTTAGGATAGTACAAGCAGACAGAAATCCTTGAGGTAATTTATGGTACTTAGCTAATTTCAAGTAATTATCCACTAATATGTGCTTAAGTGTCCTTTGACTGGGAGGAGGAGGGTATTCATTTGTTCAAACATTTTTCTTTGCTTAATTGTGAACTGTATAAGGTGTGCTCACCTTATGCATATATCCACCCACCTTTTTAATGCTTTATATTCCTAGGGGCATTTTAATTGAATAATGCATAGTATCCCAAGCATTTCATCATTAGTTATGTGTGCTCATCCCATGTTTACCATGGTTATAAGACTAATTATTTTTGAAACAGGCCAAACTTCTCAAGACAGTTTACAAAAAGACATAGTGTCTGAGGTTCACAGAACACAAATTGTTACAAGGCCAGCAGAAAATGGAATCTTTGGATCATGGTTTATACACGGTCACACATATGTAAATCCAGATTTAAATTATTGTACTTAGTGTTAAGCATTTTCTAGTATTATATCCATAGCTGATAAACAAATAGAAAAATAATACATTGAGTTTAGACAGTTGTTCCAGTACTTCTCTCAGTAACTTTGAAGCATTTTTTCCTGATTGGAGAGATTTTATTAGAAAAATATTAGCTTTCCTAAAGCATCCAGTGAATTCAGTTATGATAATAACCTAGAATTCTTTCTACATTCTATTTTATAATATCCTTAATTACTGCACTATATATGCTTCTAGCAATAGTAGCAACTATTTAAAGGGATTCAAATACAATGATTTAAATTATGTGAGAATATAAGATACCATGATTTTATATATCTAAATTTAGTCATACTTCTAAACTAGCCAAATAGATATATAATTCCTATTTCCTTTTTTTTGTTTTGTTTTCATTTGCAAATTAAGCTTACCTTCAATTTGGTAATGGTCAAAAAATATTAAATATCGAAAAGGGAAATATCCTCATGGTGATTTCAAATTCTTCTTCTTTTCTCTAATTTTCCTAGGAGCCTTTTACAACATTCTTCCTAAACCTGCAAGGGGGAAAGTTTGACCATGCAGATAGAACATTTTCTTCGATTTCTCGGGCATGGCGCAATTGTCAGCGTGACACCTCTGATATCAAGGTAAACATCAGTAAAAGTAGTAAACAGTGTTGTAATAAGCTTGATTATGATTATGATTATTTATTTACCAAGACCTATTTTTCAAAATTGTGCTTTGCAGCATATAAAAGAAGAGATTTGTACCTTTTAAAGATTGCATTCTTACATTCAATAGAACAGAAACTATAGGAAAAACACACAGCTGTACAATTACATTTACTAGTGCATAAGAAATAAGTGATTATCTGATCCTGATGTGTTAAATTTTATGAGACTAATATTTATGTATTTTTTTACAGTGTCGATATTCTGCCCTTTTATTATCAGGTTTCAGGGAGATATTTAAATGGGTTATATTCAAAACTTTAATAATTACTTAATAAAAACAATGTAAATCCATTAAAAGCACATTAAACAAATTTACACAGGCTAGACGGTTCAAACAGTTTAAAGTCATATATGTTTTGCAAAACAAACAGGCTCCAACGGCTTTAATAAAGTCGTTCATTTTGCTTGGACGCAGAATGAAGTCAAAGTTGGTACAAACTGGGCCTCCAAGGAGAGGTTTTTGGTGCACCACATATTGGTGCAAAAACAAAGAGGAACTACATAATGATTTGGAATCTATCATAATTTCTATATCTGTAATATGCTTCAAATCATAGTTTAGAATCATAGAATGATAGATTCCAACCACCTGCAATGCAGGAAAAGGACAGCCAAGGTACCTCTGACAGATGGCTGTCCAGCCTCTTGGCACCAAAACCAGGAAATCCCAAGTGGATGGTTCCCCATGAGAGTTTGCCTCTAGGTGTACACCGAGAAAGGTCAACTTGTAAGTCCCTGAACAGACTCAGAAGTGGAGTGGGCAGATCAAAAGAGAGATGGCAAAATGGCACTACCTAGAAGAATCCTTCACCTTATGTGAGAACAAGCAACTCTGCATATATATGCTTATTCGCAATGCCCTGCCTCATGCACAGAAGAAGAATTGTTTAAAGCTACAGACAATGAGGTCACTGTTGCTCATTTTTGGACAAAAATTATTTAACTTCTTGTGTTCCCTCTATTTTTATCAGTCTTATATTTATTTATGCAATGCTTTTGACACAAAATATTTTTTTTTTGTTTTACCTATGATTTATAATCACTATACATTTAATATGCTGCTAAAATTGTGGAAATATATAATAAACTTAATATAATGGGCTGATGGTAACTTTGTCAAACTACAATGTCGAAGTCTGCAATTTTTTAAAACTTTGATGTGACTAGTTTAATAAATATGCACTCCACATACTGAATATATTGATGATGTTTTATTAGCATAATAGATAGTTATATGAAGGACAAAATGCTGCTAATGTGAACTAACAATCTAGTAAATTCTGAATAGTAAAAGCAGACTTTTGCCAAAATCCCTAACAAATTTGATTCATGTGTTAATAGTATTTGCCAGAAGGGCAAAGAACCCACAGACTAACATGATTTTCTTACTTTACTATAAGAGAATTAAATTTTCTTTCTATGAAAAAATAAGACATTGAACAGATAAGAGATCCATCTAACTGTAGGGTCTTGATCTAGATGGTAATGTGTATATAAAGTCCTCCATAGTCCCAGTTGTTTGTCAGTGGCCCTTAGTTAAGATGCTATATGTAATTGGATTCCTTTGATGGAAATGCAAAACATGTTTGCTATCATTCTCCCAACCAAGGTACATTTAAAGAAGGAAAGGACAGAGAAGGCTTGCAGAGAAAGTGGTGGCAAATAGGTGTATTGGCCCATAACAATATTGAGTCTATTTCCATTTCCTTGCAAGGTCTTGCATTTGAAATTTGGTAGCATCTGATGTTAATTTGGTGCAATAGAAACATAATTATATGAATACACAAGCTTGTTTGTATGCAACAATTTGAATACTATTTGGAGTCTAGTTTATGTACCTAAATTCTGCCAATTCTCATACTGAACTCTGTTGAGAAGAGAGCATGACTGTCTTTATTTGCTATATGATCCATCAGATGAAAATTATCTGCCGTAAAAGTCACATTGTAGTTAACTGTGTCAAAGTTCACATCTGTCTAATATTTTAAAGGTATTTTGGGAAGGTAAAATACGCCTCACATTCTACATAACCATGGAGTAAAAACATATGTTTGGCTTAGCAAGTGGGGTGGGAGGGAGGAGTATTAGCACTTACCTGACAAGAAAGTAACAACAAGAAAGGCATCTGTAATTTGCACATTTTTCCACCCTGCCATCTAACTATTAATTTCCAACATTTCGGCCAGATAGGCAGGAAGGAGGTAATATAGAGTATCGTCACTTCAAAATAAAACATCCAAGGATCAAACAAAGGTTAGATTGTCATTCAAGATTAACCCGATGCTTTGATCACTAGTCTGAGCTTTCATAGGATGATGACATGAATTGGTTGTGACTACATATATGCTCTAACTTTTATTTCCTGGGGTGTGATGCCAACTGACACAAATTGCTTCCAAAGCTGGCCCATGAGATTCTTCTTACAGCATGCAGTACTTTCAACAATTTTTACAGGTTTGAAGGCTCTTAGTGTCCAGTTTGTTCCTTGCTCCCTTTTCAAATTTTCAAATGTATTGCTGTTTAATGTCACCCAAGTGTAGCTTCCTAATCATGGATGAATGGCCTATATTCTGTAGTGAAAATAAATGAAATACACGTACCCATTTAACAAATCAGTGAATAGTTGCTTCATAGAAAGAATATATAATTAATAGACAATGTAAGAATTATTTAGTTAAAGCTTAGCAGAATTCCTTCGCACTGATTTTAATGGGATAGTTAATTACTAAAAGCAATGGAGAATAGTCCCTGGCACATTGATACTAGAAGGAATGGCTATCCCTTGTATATCTACCTGGGCAACGAGACTTACTAAGCCACCTTCCTGTGTGCCCCACCAGTGGGAACAATACAGTAGATGTATTATTTTAAATTGGTTTATATGTTCTGCACTATTGCTCTTACTAGGCCCCCTGGTGATGCAATGGGTTAAACCGCTAAGCTGCTGAACTTACTGACCAAAAGGTTGGTGGTTCGAATCTGGGGAGCAAGGTGAGCTCCTTCTGTTAGGCCCAGCTTCTGCCAAACTAGCAGATCAAAAACACAGAAGTGTGAGTAGGTCAATAGGTACTGCTTATGTGGGAAGGTAACGGCACTCCATGTAGTCATGCTGGCCACATGGCCTTGGAAGTGTCTATGGACAACATCGGCTCTTCGGCCTAGAAATGGAGATGAGCGCCAATGCCCAGAGTCAGACACAACTAGACTTAATGTCAGGGGAAACCTTTACCTTTTTATTTCTCTTACTGAGTTTAACTCATATAGTTTGCTTTTGCTGTATGCTGCCCAGAGATTTTATAATATAAAGCAGGATATACAAATAAGTAAATAAATAATTTTTCTTTATCCTATTGTTCAGAAAATACCTACAGTGAAAACATCATCTTTCCCTATCCCACATCTTTGCTTTGAGAGAAAACATATAGATTGACTGCATAAATTGATGTAATTTTTCGAGACATCTTAGAGAACTAATCTGTCTGTACCAGTAGCAGCATAATGGTCAGGTTGTCTTTAGGCTGCATTTCTTTGGTTAGTGAAATGTAACGTTTGGCTAACATCATAAATTAGGTCATGATTTTATGATTTATTTATTCAAACATTTTATACCACTCATCAGCATAAAAAACTATCTGAGCAATTTACCATAGGAGTAATAAGACAATCTCTGTCTCAAAACTAGTCTAAAAGACATGACACACAAGGAAAGGGGAAGAAGGAAATAAAATAGTAAAACCAGACACTAGTTAGGCGACGTGTTATGCCACGACCACTTAATAAATATAGTTCCTCATGTTGTGGTGACCCCCAACCATAAAATTATTTTCATTGCTACTTCATAACTGTAATTTTGCTACTTTTAAATTATAATGTAAATATCTTATAAGCAGGATGTATTTTCATACTCCCAAATTTGAATACTGGTGGGGTTGCGAGGGTTTATTTTATCATTTGGGAGTTTTCGTTGCTGGAATTTATGGTTCACCTACAATCAGAGAGCATTCTGAACTCCACCAATGATGGAATTGAACCAAACTTGACACACAGAACTCCTATGAGCAACAGAAAATACTGGAAGGGTTTGGTGGGCATTGACCTTGAGTTTTGAAGTTATAGTTCACCTACATCTAGAGAGCACTGTGGACTCAAACAATGATGGATCTGAAACAAACTTGGTACGAATACTCAATATCCCCATTGTAATCACTGGTGGATTTTGGGGAAAATAGACCTTGACATTTGGGAGTTGTAGTTGCTGGGATTTATAGTTCACCTA